CCCCCCCCCCCCCAAAAAAAAAAAAAAAAAAAAAAAAAAAAAAAAAAGGGGGGGGGGGGGGGGGGGGGAAGTAACAACACATCGTTAAAGTCCTCACGATGCTTGTTAAAACTACCAAAAACAAAGAATATGTATATTTCATAGTTTGTGCCGGAGCATCCAATGGTCAGCCGCCTCACGGGTTCCGGACCATGGGATGGTCCGAGGCCTCGGGGGGCTCCGGACTACGGGAGCCACGGAGGCGCCACGCAGCAGGAATCCATGGGATGGTCGGGCACCTCGGGGAAGCTGGAGCGTCCAATGGTCCGGTGTCCGCAGGGCCTCCCCACCACGGGGATTGTACAGCTCATCGGGGAAGCCAAAACATCCAATGGTTCGGCGCCTCGGGGGCTCAAGTCCATGGGATGGTCCAGCGCTCCGGGGATGCCGAAACATCAAATGGTTCGCCGCCTCGGGGGCTCCTCGCCATGGTGTGGTCCTGTTCCCCGAGGGCTCCAGACCACACCATGGTCTGGCGCCCCGGGACGCCAGACCATCCAACCGTCTGGCGCGTCAGGGACTCCCGACCATACCATGGTCCGGCGCCCCGGGGATGTCGGACCATACCATGGCCTGGCGCCTCGGGGGCACCAGACCATACCATGGTCCAGCGCCTCGGGGACGCCGGACCATCCAACCGTCTGGCGCGTCATGGACGCCCGACCATACCATGCTCCGGCGCCCCAGGGACGCTGGACCATACCATGGTCCGGCGCCTCGTCTGCCATGTCAGGGACGCCCGACCATGCCACAGTCCGAAGTCCCTGGGACGCCGGACCATCCAATGATCCGGCGCCTCGGGGGCTCCAGACCATACCATGGTCCGGCGCCTCGGGGGCTCCACACCATACCGTGGTTCGTCGCCCCGGGGACGCCGGACCATCCAATCGTCTGGCGCGTCAGGGACGTCCGACCATGCCACGGTCCGGCGTCCCTGGGTCGTCGGACCATCCAATGGTCCTGCGCCTCGGGGGCTCCAGACCATACCATGGTCCGGCACCTCGGGGGCTCCAAACCATACCATGGTCCGGCGCCCCCCACCATCCAATCGTCTCGCGCATCAGGGATGCCCGACCATACCATGGTCCAGCGCACCGGGGACGCCGGACCATACCATGGTCCGGCGCCTCGGGGGCTCTAGACCATACCACGGTCCTGCGCCCCGGGGACGCCGGACCATCCAATCGTCTGGCGCATCAGGGACGCCCGCCCATGCCAAGGTCCGACGCCCCTGGGACGTCGGACCATCCAATGGTCCGGCGCCTCGGGGGCTCCAGACCATACCATGGTCCGGCGCCCCGGGGACGCCGGACGATACCATGGTCTGGCGCCTCGGGGACGAGAGGCCGACCATCGAAGGCCAGGAAACCCTCGTCGCTGCCTGTCGCTCGTATGGTTTGCTGTTCTCCACCTTTTTTATTCTTGGTGGCGAGTCTGGGTGCTCGAAGAGCTGCGACGACTGGTTGCAACATCGACATCCTCTGCCCTCGCTGCCAAGTGTACTGGTACGTTCAGCTCAGCATACCATAAGACCTTGATGGAGTGATCGGGATCAATTTTTTTAAGTGGTCGGCCTGTTCGAAGGTCCCTGCGATAGTGAAATTTCCCATTAACAATGTCTTTGAATACTTTGCAGAAACCATGCACACGTTGAACGCCAACAGTGAGAAGGGGAGCTGCCCACATCCGTTAGAGCCTTCCACTGCATACCGAGGAACTCCATCGCCGCAACAACCCCTCTCCAGCTCTGAGACCAAGTCCCCTTCATTAGGGAAGCTTCGCCGATACCGTGACTCCTCGCCACGTTCAATTCGTGCTCCGAAGAAGAGAAAAACAGTTCTTCAATATGAGAGTCACCCGTTCCACACTATAGTCCAAAGGTTGAGACTGGAGGATTTAATCAAGGCAATCAATTAAGACGGATCCACTCCTCCTCCATGTCAGCCGTCAGCAACGTCTCTGCCGCCTCCAGACATCCGCAGTAAGGAAGACTCATCCGTTCGCTGCAATTCGGAAGAGAACAACGGTGGAAACGACGCATCTTTTCCACCGGATGAACCTTCCGATGAGAGCGAAAACCACACGACACAACAATGTGTCAGTGAGCCACCATGGTACGGGGAAGAGGAAATACACATACGTGAAGTTGGGGTCGGGTATGGGAAAGAGGAAATACACATACGTGAAGCAAAAGCGAAGAAGTGAGATATCAGATGCAAATATGCTGGAGAAATGCACCATGGAAGAATGCACAGCCGTGTTGAAGAAGATGTGCTGCAAAAAAATGCAATGTTGTTCTAGAATGACAGCGGAAGAGGTGTACAAGGCAAAAATGAAATATAGGTCGTTGAGCCCCGATGAAAGAAGGATGTGGTGGATGAGACAACTGGACAGTTTTACTTGCATCGAAGATGAAAAGAAGGTGGTCAAACCTGTTGTGGAAAAACACAGGGTTTGTATTCAGGCATGGTGCTACATAACCGGCTTCTCCAGAAACACGTACGCGTTTTACCATGATTTGCATGAGAACGGAACGGTGTTGCCGATTTATGGAAGAAAAGGTCACTCCACCACATCAGTAGCTCATGCAATGACTTTCCTGACATTCCAGACTTTGATCATGGAGGAGGCCGATGCAATGCCTGACGAGACAGACGTAAACAAGGATTACGAAGTTAGGTCGTGCATCAGATTGCGTTCAACGTACGCTACCAAAACAGATGTGTATGAAAGCATCAAAAGACGGTTGCAGAAACAGAACATAGACTGCCGCTCTTCGCAAGTATTCGGAAAAATGTGGCGTAATTTTTTCTAACATGTTCACCTCGCAAGATCAACCGACTATGCTAGATGCAATTACTGCACAAAACAAACAGACCTTATCGAAGGTGTCATGCGAGACGTCGGACGAGGTCTCGTGGCAAAACTCAATCACCATAGGTCATTGCAGAAAGCACATCGCGAATTATATCAAATATGGTCGGCAGAGTCTAAGTTCATGAGGAACAAAAGCTTGTGCATTATAATTGATGGGATGGGCGAAGCAAAAACGGTGATTCCTCATACTGCTCGCAACAAGACATCAGAGGCAATGGACAATCGCACAATGATGAAAACAAACCTCACCGGTATTCTGGCACATGGGAGGAGTCCTCACATTATCGTTCACACATGGTTTCCTGTTTTCTCACACGATGCTGACTCGATCGTGTCATCGGTCGCAAAGGTGTTAAGAGACATACAGAGACAACCAGGAGGGTTGCCACTGGTTCTCAGACTCCAAGCTAATAACTGCGGGGGTCAGAATAAGAACAAATATGTATTTGCGTTTCTGGCACTGTTGGTGAAATTTCATATTTTTGAAGTAGTGGAAATGGGATTTATGATAGTGGGTCACACACATACTGATATCGATGCGAAGTTTAGCTTGTTCTCTGGGAAGCTCGCAGGTTCGGACGCTTACACGATGGAAGAATTATTCACAGCATTTAAAAATTCTACGAAGGTACAGGTAGACTGCACATTTGTAAAGGAGATGGCGGATTGGAAAAACGTTGTGAGAGGTTTCTTGGACAAACGAATTGGTGGACATTCCACACTGCACCTCTTCAAGTTCTATATGGACGGTGACAACCCTGCAATGGTGTACAAAGAGTACTGCACCAGTAATGAGTGGTTGCCTGAAGGTGAACTTATTTACTGGTTCAAAAGAGATGAGCAGGGGAGATGGGCGGGGCCTTCCATGCCAGTCGAACCACGTCGCCTAAAGGTTACATTGGAAAGTGGGGATTTCGTCAAAGACTGAAATTATGTGAAGTAGGATTGGACAACGAAGGAAAAAACAGTAAAGTAATATAGTGAACGAAACGTGAACGTGGAGAATGTGTAAGGTAGCAATGGATCATTGACCGATCGAAGTGTCATGGCAAGGAACTGGTGGGGAATGAAGGAAATTGTCACAACTGATCAATGACCGATCGACGCACGTAGTCATTATTCGTATGTAGGGATATGAAAACCTATGTTTATTTGTAGGAGACGACGATTACGGATAGGCAAGTAACGGTGGGAAAGAGACAATTGCGGATTGTGTTGGAGCGTACGAGAACGTGAGTGCGGAGCACGTGTAAGGTAGCAATTGATCAATTACCGATCAAAGTGTCATGGCGACGAAATGGTGGGAAATCAAGGAAATTGTAGCAAATGAATATCAACCACAATGTGTCGTCGACAACGCATCATTGACTGTCACTTCATCACAAGGCAACAATTCAAATACACCGGCCTTGGATCTCATAATATTCGACAAAAATATATGGGGAAATGATATCGTCAGCATAGACTCTCGCTATTTGCACCTTGTCGGAAAAGTCGCGCAAGACGGTGAAATCCCCATGTATTGGGTCATGGGAGACAACGGCATAGAGATTCGTCGTGACGACAACAAAGACTTCTGGTACTTGTACTCATTGGAGAAAGAAGTCGACGTAGAACCCGACGGCGAGGACAGTACTGAAGACCCTGTTATACCAACGGAGATTATGGATCAGTGGAAAACATTGTGTGTCAAGCAGTAATGGTCACAGCATGACAGAAAACACGCCAAACAATGTGTTTGGTTTTACATCGGGAAACCACACATACAGTTTACGATCTTTGTAGATTTTTATGGACGAATCCGGGTGTTGAATCGTAACACCACCGTTGTGACACTTTTTACAGCGGACAAGGTGAATGATAAAAAAATAAACGCGTTGTTTATTGCTAGAGAGGAATTTCACAATGACACACTTACATCTCAGTAATCATTCAACAACCCTACAATCGTCGAATTGCTTGGGCGTTTCAAAACTCGAATATCCCATGATCATGCTCTAAGAAAAGAGCTCGAATGAGGATAGAATGCTTAGTGCACAATCAGGTTCATTATCTGTTTGATAATTATGACGAGATATCATTGACCGTTGAACATCGGGATGACACGTTAGACGTTATTTTCCATAGAAAAAAATACACATGTGGGGGGAAGAAAGCAATGACATTTTCTACTGGTTAGAGCAGAGACGTGTACGCCTGTCCTTACTATGGCAACGGACACATTCGTCTTTAGCATAGTTTGGAGAGAAAAGTTTTGTACATCATGAACTATGTCGTAGATGCATGTGTTTAGCAAACTTTGGAGAGAAAAGTTTTGTACCCCATGAACTGGTTGGAGCAGAGACGTGTACGATTGTCCTTACTCTAGCAACGGACACATTCATCTTTAGCAAAGTTTGAAGAGAAAAGTTTTGTACCCCATGAACTGGTTGGGGCAGAGACGTGTACGGCTGTCCTTAATCTGGCAACAAACGCATTCATCTTATACATAGATGCATATGTTTGCAAATAAAATTAAGTGTGTGTGTGTGTGTGTGTGTGTGTGTGTGTGTGTGTGTACCTTGAAGTGTGTATGTGTGTGTAGATGTTATGCGTGTGTGCAGCAGACACAGTGTCACGACGACGATACAAAAATGTATGCTAATTCCAAAAAGGGATTGTTCAATACTCGAAAACACACCAATCAACTTAATAAATTTGTTTGGTACAAAACGAAGTTACTCGTTAGAGGACGAATCAATGACAATTCAGTCGTAGCCAGAAGTAAAATACACAAGTAACACACTAAACATGAACAGACAAGTGCAAACTAGCAAAGTATTTATGTTACACTGCACATTACAACAGAATAATGAATGCACAAAATACACATGCTAGGAAGAAAAAACAGAGAAATAATAAATAAAATGAGTTACTGTCGCACACAAAATAAGGGAAAACTACACAAAGGTAAAAAAAACAAAGCATGAAGTGCTCCATACACGTCAAGTGGATATGTGCACGGAAAAAAAAAGCAACAAAACATCAAATAATAGCAACAAATACACGACACAAAAATGATGGACACGAGCAAAGTTGCGAAAAAGTAACTAATTTTGAAGGTAAACTAATGGCCGAGTCACAAAAAAAGAGCAAACTGAAGAAAATCAAACAAAACTGACATAAAATTTGCACATGTGTAGCATAGTACCATAGCATCATATATGTCACATTTATTAAAAAAAAAGGCTT